GGGGCGGCTGCGGCGCTGCACCTCCGCGTCCATCTGCCGCAGCTCCTGCAGCACGCGGCGCACGCAGCCCTCGGGGATCTTGATGCCTGCGGGTGGCGCTGCGGTCAGGTCCCTCCAGCGGGCCACGCGCCCACGCCGCCCCTCCGCCGCGCACTCACCCACTTGCTTCTTCCTGTCCTTCGTCTTGAGGCGCACGATCTGCAGGTAGCTGCTGCTGCTGACATCGGCCATGACGGCGGCCACGCGGCCCCACACGCGCAGCAGCGCGCCGCACAGCACGTAGTGGTGCCGCAGGCGCAGGCCCTGCACGCAGTCCTTGCCTTCCTGGGTCACCCGGCAGTGCTGGTTCCTGTGGGCCCAGTGCACGGGTTGGTGCCACTGCTGCCTCCTGAGGGGTCCCCTCCACGGTCCCCTCCGTCCCTCCGCGGCGCTCACCAAGCCATGTGGCTGCAGTGCGTCAGCGAGTAGGCGTAGCTGCTCTCCCAGTGCTTCTGTGCTTCCTCCGCGGTGACCTGGGGAGGCGACTTGAGGTGAGCCCAGCCCCGAGGCCCACCAGCCCCACCATGCTGTTGGAGGGCCCTCCCTACCTGCTGGAACTTGCGGCACAGGCTGTCCAGGGTCTCGGGCTGGCTCTGGCGGCCGATGTTGGGCTTGTACACGGTGAAGTGCTTGCCGCTGCCCTGCTCGGCCAGCAGGCAGCTCAGCTTGTTGCCCCGCACCTGTGGAGGGGAGTGTGAGGCTGACCCGCCAGAGGCACAGGGCAGAAAACCGCCACCCTGCCCACCCCCGAGAGTGCCAGCGCTGGAGAGCCGGCGGAGACTCGCCTTATAGGAGAGGTAGAAGCCATCATACTGGCCCTTGAGCCCCAGTGACTTGGTGAAGGCCTCTTCCCACTTCAGCCCGCGGTCCACGGTGATCTGCCAGGACACAGGGTGTTGGAGGGCAGGTAGGCAGCAGGCAGGCGGGAGGGCCACAGGGCTGGGCGGAGGACGCTCACCGTGTAGAAGACCACCTGCCCGTCCTGCGGGTGCCCGGGGGCTAGGAACACCTGCTGGCTCTCCTCATAGATTTCATCAATTCCAGGAGCCAGGTCTGCAGGGAAGCAGGGAGGTGAGGGCCAAGGGCAATGCCCACCTAGGCTGAGCCCCTGAGCCCCTCGCCTGGCTGCCAGCAACTAGGCCTGGCTGGTCCCACTCTTCCACTTTTTTTGGTTTTTGGCTAATAATGGGGATAGAACCCTTTGCACCAGCTCCCCCCACCCATTTTTGCCTTTCTGAGACAGGGTTTTACTATGCAGTTCAGGCTGGCCTTGAACTCACTTTGTAGCCCAGGTGGGCCTCAAACTCATAGCGATCCTCCTACCTCAGCCTCCCAAGTGCTGGGG